TCTGTGTGCGACGTATTCTTCGCGGTGACATGGGTCCAGAGTTGATGGAGTATTTCCATCCGCGCGAGCAGACCAGGACTCGTGGACATGGACTTACGCTGTTGAAGCTTTCGTCCGTAGGATTACCTCTTCGGTTCCGGCTATCGCGAAGGGTAACCAATCTTTGGAACTCCCTTCCAGCTGACGTGGTGGAATAGGTGAATGATAAGATGTTCAAGAGGAAGCTCGACAGCGTCCTGCGAACAATGTGGTATGCAGATCTATCATGAATGAGATCTTCGAGTCTGTGGTGATGAGGCTCATACGGGAAATTACCCTCTGCCTCTAATTGAAGAACATTGAACATGAGCAGCGATCGACACGGATGGTTCGGGTTCTACAGTATTTGATACGTCAAAATCAAGTCTCCTTGAGTTCGGCGGTACTGTGCAGAATATAGTCCCAACGATCGCAATCTCTCCTCATATTGTAACGAGAAGGCGAGCTGGCTGGGAAAAAACGTCTATTGATCCAATTCAAGAGCAAACAGTGTATGCGTTCGATTATATACAGTCAATTCTCAATTGCGCGGCGGGATGGTTCATGCCTCTTTCTGCGGGTCATTCCTTGGCCTGCGGATGATAGGGGGACGTTCTTATTCGTTTGATGCCCTAGCGCTCTAAGGTCTCCCGAAAAATCTTGGATTCGAAACACAATCCGTGGTCGGTAATGACATTTTCCGGGATACCGAATCATGCAACCACATTGTCTATAAATATTCGAGCAACCGTTTCTCCTGTTCGATCTGAGGTTGGTATCGCTTCCACCCAGCGAGATACGAGGTAGATCATCACGACAACGTATTTTTTCCCCCTTGGACTAATAGGCAGAGGTCCACACATATCCAGACCCCAGGTTTGAAGTACTCTCTGTTTATCTATTGGTTGCATTGGTGGTGTTGATGGCGGCGTGTATTTATTATGTTGGCACTAGGGGCAATAAAGGATGTATTCAATTACATCCCGATGCATCGTTGGCCAGAACACGCGACGTCGCAATGAGTCAAGAACTCGTTGCCGTCCCATGTGTGCTCCATCGTGTGCAAGCTTCAACACCCGTTCGCGAAGGCCGGCTGGGATGAATGGCAGTCGCCTAGGTCTCAGTCCGCGTTCCATGTCCACTTCCACCACCAAGGTCTCATTGTTCAAATGCAGGCGATCCCAGATCTTCATTACCTCTCCTATTTCGGGTGAAGTTTCTTCTGGCTTCCTTCCTGATCGCAGATGCTCACACATCGTTAGCACCAGGTCGTCTTCTTTCTGATGTTTATTAATTTCCACATCGCTCGAAACTAGCCGGGAAAATGGGATGGCCTCCGATGGGACATCTTCCTCGTGGATCGGACGTGACAGGAAGTCAGGAATCCCGTTATCCTTGCCGTCAACATGTTCAATGGTAAACGTAAAAACCTGGAGACAATACGCCCATCGCGCCAGTCTTCCTCTAGGGTCCCGCGCCGTCATCAACCACGTCAAGGGTTTGTGGTCTGTCCTGATGTGGAACGTGTTCGCAATCAGATACATTCGCCATTTTCCCAATGCTCACACGATCGCCAGGCACTCCTTTTCGGTGATCGAGTACTTCCTTTCGGCGTCAGTGAGCAGGCGGCTGGCATATTCAATTACTCCGGAAGGTTGTGACAGCACTGCTCCGATTCCAATATCGCTAGCATCGACGGACACAGTGAAGGTTTCAGCAGGATTTGGTATTTTCAGACATCTTCTCTCAGAAGCCGTAATTGCTTTTAGCCCTTGGAAGACCTCCAACTCTGGCATCCACTCAAACTTCCTGTCCTTTCTTAGCAACTGGAACAAGGCGGCAGCCTTTTCAGCGAAGTGCGGTACGAATTTCGCATCGTATCTTACTAATCCCCAAAACGACCGNCCGCAATTGGCGTTCGGACTTTGGAGGAGAAAAATTTCGAATTGCTTCAGCCTTCTCGGGCAACGGTTTAATTTTACCTCCGCCGACAAGGTGACCCAAACAGGTGATTGTGCCCCGAGCGATTTGGCATTTCTTTGCACTGAGTTTTAACCCTGCATTTTTGATTCTCTCCAGATCCGCTTCCAGTTGACGCATGTGTTCCTTTAGTGTCTTCGAGAACACTACAATATCGGCGCCGTACACTACAACACCGTCCAAGTTTTCCAATATTTGTTGCAACAGACGTCTGAACGTGGCTGGTGCATTGCACAGTCCGAACGAATTCGTATTGCTGCCCGTTGACACCAAAGGCAGTTTTCTCTCTGTCGCTGGCTGCTACTGGTAGTTGCCAATACCCAGATCGAAAGTCAATTAGTGACAGTACCCATGCAGAGTGGAGCTGTTCAAATATCTCATCCGTCAGTGGCATCGGAAAGGCGTCCTTTATAGTTACACGACTGAGTTCTCGAAAGTCGACACAAAATTTGTAAGTACCCTCAGATTTTCTGGTGAGCAGCACCGGTGACGAGTACGGGCTGGTACTTTTACGGATGATACCTTTTACAGCATATCGCGTACCTGTTTCTCCACCTCCGGCAGTATCTTGTGGGTATTCTTTCGGTACACAGATTTACACGCGGCTCTTGGCATCAAATCTATTTTGTGCTCCAACCAATCACAAAATCCACACTCGTCGTCCGCAGTAGAAAACAATTCAGAATACTTTTCAACGCATTGCTTAACACATGGAATCGAACACTCCGGAACGGCCGATTTCCTTACAATGCTGACGAGAGAATGCGTTTCTTTTCCTGAGCGTTATTATGATCCCACGAGTAATCTACCTCCTACGAAATCGATCTTCGTACCCACGCGCCTGAGCAGATCGACACCGATTATAACCTCACTTACACCTTCGATCAAGAATATCTCATGGGTAACGGTCACCTCACCAATCCGCACACTGGCACATTGTTTACCCAGGACTCTGAGTGGCATACCCCCAACCGCACGCACGCTCACATTGCACGGCTTCACCGGAACCCCTTCTACCCGAGGCATAATGGAAATCCGGGCACCCGTATCAATAACAGCCAACTTTGACCGTCCCAAAATGAATACCTCGAGCTTCGGGCAAGGTGTCCTACACCGTGGCAACTGAAACATTGCTTTGGCCGAACTTGAGCCATGAAACGTCTCCTGCCTTGTGATCCGCCTTTCAATTCCTCCTTCAGTCTTCCAATTTCTTCAAATATTTGTTCAATCTTATCTTCAGTTTTAGCAGCATCCACCCGAGCAACCACGTAATCATTTTGACAGGCTCGCACAATGGAAATTAGGCCCTCTGCGTCATTCACTCCGCACGCCAACGCAAGTCTCAGTTTGTCTTTCATCTGTGCCGGCATGCTTTGTATGAACCGTTCTTTGGCAAGCCTCTCCGGTGTTTTGTTATTCGCCTCCGGCAGGCCCAGGGAAATTTGTCGCTTCATGTATTGGTAGTGTACCAACGGGTCCTCAGTTCGGTTGTACTCCGTAGCGTAGAACCGGCTCATTGCCTCCTCGCGGTTACCCTCCTTTGGAAATTCTGCCACCAATGCAGATTTAAAATTCTCATAATCTAGGGCTTGGTTGCTTTCTAAATTCAAGTCGTAAGCGGCCCTCGCCCGTCCGGTGAGCAGTGCACCCAACGCGGTGACCATGTGCGCACTCCCTTTGACGCCTTTGCACGGTGCGATTAAATCAAAATCGCGAATCCACTTCTCCACATCTCCGTCTACAAACACGTTTGGCCAGGGTAGCTTTATTGCGTTGTGTTGACTTGGGCAACGGGTCAACTGTAACGAGAAGGCGAGCTGGCTGGGAAAAAACGTCTATTGATCCAATTCAAGAGCAANTATACAGTCAATTCTCAATTGCGCGGCGGGATGGTTCATGCCTCTTTCTGTGGGTCATTCTTTGTTGGTTTTAGTGCGCACTTGGCACGTAAGTTGCCGCTTCTTCCGCGTGCCATTCAGACTGGTTTGACCCGATCACGGCACGACAGCTCCGACGTTGTGGCACTCGGTGGATACCTTTCCCGTTAGCTGCGGATTGTCTGTTGGGCTGTGCTTGTCGATTCGGGTGGCAGTCAACATTGTCTCGCGAGGCACTTCCCATCGCTGCGCCTGCGCGTCTGGTCG